AGATAACGCCACCAGAAACCTGGGGGCAGCTCGTTAAGCTGCCACCATCAGCAAGGTCCCGCCCCGGAAGCCCAAAAATATGAATTTCAATTATTAATGGTGTAAATTTAAAACTAAATAGACAAGGATCGTGTGTGTGTGTGTGTGTGTGTGTGTGTGTGTGTGTGTGTGTGTGTGAATAAATATTTCCTTTAGCTCTACACATGTCTTTTCAAAAAGGATTAACTATGTTATGGTGTAGTGCCTGGTTATTTTAGGACCTCCTATCTCCCATAGTATCTGCCTCATCAGTTTCATATGTTTTGTGTTCAATTAAACAATGCTATCTATGTAGACCACAGAAGCATTACTTCTTTGTAATAACATTTGCTCTCTGGAATGAGGTCCACCCCTACAGGTTCAGATACCCTCCCATTAAACCCCCACCCCCTATCTTGCTGATGTTTCTATGGGCGTTGAAGACCTAGCTCTTTCCATAGGCCTTTAGAAAGGATGAATGAATCTCCATTGTGGATTGTGAATTCATTTCTTTTTGTTTCCTGACTGTGGTGGAATGTGGTTGGAGTGTCAGAAGAGAGGGACTACCTCCTGCAGAACAAAGAAACAGAGCTTGGGATGTCTGGTAGGCAGGAAGAGGGCAAAGACAGCTCTCCCTATCAGTTCACAAAATATTTATAATTATGCAGGAAATTGCTTTAGTCTGACAAGATTCTGTATGTGAACAGGTGAACAGCAATAAAGTAAATACTCAGAAGGAGTTCTTGGAATTGATGCTGTTGGTTTTTTGTCATTTTTGCATATCAAACAAATAAAATGTACTATGAGAGCTGACAAGTAAGCAGGTATCCTTAAAGAAACTGAGCAAAAAATTAAGCTCAATGCATGAGACATCAATCAAAAGCAAAACACAGATGATATTATGTACTGGTGGTGGAACTCAGAAAAACCATTAGACCTTTAAAGAAGAAACGTACCCTGAATCCTTGAAGAAGAAAAAAAGATGCTGTAACAGGATAATATTTTTTAAAGAGCAGAAGGTATACAACTAGAAGAATATAAAGAGATGTTACTCTGTTTGGCAATTCAACAAGTTTTAAAGCAGTAAAGTACCAAGGTAGCACTGTACAGTGCTACCTTGGTACTTTACTGCTTTAAAACTTGTTGAATTTGGTACTCAAAGCATTTTGAGATCTTTATAATCTCAGAACAATGATAAACAGAATTTCACAATAGGAGAAATAGATAGAAAATTAAGATGGGTTTGAAAAAGGGAAGATATAAAGGCAGAAAAAGGCATACATAGGAAATAGGAAAAGAGATTGAAACAAGGAGGATACATCCAAATGGCCCAGAACTGAAAAAAAAGATGTCAGAGAATCTAAAGTTCTTAATGAGCTGAAGCTGGCTAAATATTTCAAATACCATCAAAAGTCTTATTTAGATCATTTTAAAATAAAGGTTTAAAATAAATACAAAACATTCAGAAAAATATTTTTCTCCATGCATCTATGTGAAGGCAATTGAGCAATGGCTTACAAATATTGCCAAGTGCTCCATTGTACTTCTGGTCTTTCTTCTGATCACATAATACAGGTAGAGCACAGTAGCCTTGATGCACCTAAATTTACAGGAGGAAAACAAGAAAATAATAGTTTTTGACCCCCGTGCATCGTGTTTTCACCCTCCCTGGCCCCCAGAAGCACTCTGCAGTGCTCCGCACGGCCCGTTTTTGCCAAAAACAGGTCCATTTTCGCCAAAATCGGGAATGAATTATGAATTCATTGGGAATTATGGTTATGGTGGTTTAGAACTATCCACAAAGCCAAAAATTAAGTAATCTTGGATTAGATTGGCTAGATGACTTAACCCAATATGTTTAAATTTTTTATCTAAGGCTTCAATCCTATTTCTTTTCATGCTAAGATAGATCTTTATAAACTTAACAAGGCTGATTTCTGAGGAAACATGGATAAAATTTAAGAGTAAAAATTATCTGAGCAGCAGAATACAGAATATGAAGATAAGAATACTCAGTTACTATCATATCATCATCACTATCCATTAATCAACTTATGTATAAACGCCCCTTTATTTATTAAGACTTTTACTGGAGAAAAAGGAGAAACCAGGAGTCAAAGCTCCAGGGTGACTTTAGATTTAAACTCACCAATTTGAATGTCTTTAAAAAAAAACCTTTATTATATAGTCATTTCTATAATTGTATAGTATATGGCTCTTCTAATATATTGGGAGAGTAGTATTTTAAAAAAACCCCGCTATAACTTGCAAGATTCTACCCCAGTAAAAAATTTGCCCAGTTAACTTTGTTTAACTGTATTAAGGAAACATAATTTTCTATCAAATACAGTTTTAAATTAGTCTCTAAACAAACTTCTGAAATAAAGCCCAGGAAATTATTTTATTCCCCTTCAGTGCCAGACAACTTTAAAAAGTTTTTTTTAATCTGACTTTTCAGTGCAACACTGATTCCTGTTGGATTTTTTAAAAATAGCATGCCACCCTCATTTTGATATTATCCCATGAATTCCCTAATAGGTAGCTATTTGTCTTCTTCTGTTATCCAACATATTTTCTGATATGAACAGAAAAGAAAAATATTTAGAAAAAAAAATATTATTTCAGAGTGTGACATTAACACTATAATGTGATTATTATTATTATTGTTATTATTTTAAAAAGAATGCTACAAACCTGTTCAGGTTCTACATGACAAAACATTGAAATCTTTTCTTTTACAGCCATTTCTATAGGTTTAGTACTTCTACAGACTATCTATAAGGAGATATAAACAGATTAGCAACACACTGTGGAATAACACTTTCCAAGAAGTAGTACTTTCCTTTTTTTTTTTTTTTTTGCTTAAAATGCTTTTAAAGATTTTTAAGGGAAAAGAAGAAAAAGCAAAGTTTCAGCTTTCATAAAAATAAATCTCCTACCATAATAACTTGTGATAGAATTTCCAAATCTCACCAATTAAATACTCGGAGATATCTGAGTTATGGAGGTTTATCTAATTTAAGTAAATGATGTAGGATCTCTCTCAGCCAAACTAGACACCAGAATCTTATTAAGAGTACAATAAGATTAAACATTTAATATCTAGTATCTTTGCAAAAAAATCACTTAGTCAAAGTTATATTTTCTTATTCACCACTTAACAAATACGTACACAATGGGCAACCAAAAATATAATGCAATTACATCAGACAGAAAACCTGCATATACTTCTGTTTAAAATTTCAGCTAATATTCCACACTGCAAGCAAATATATTATGCCCATCAATACTTAAACAGACAGTTTTTATCTAATATAAAACAAAGTAAACCTATTTTGCCATAATTAACAGATAGACCAAATACATTTTTATAATTTTAATCAGAAAATTCCCACTCAGATTCGACTACTGAATAAAAAAATAATACCCTATACATAGTGCAAGTTAATGAAACTATAAACATACCTATCACTTCCATTCTAACAATATAAATGTGTACTTTTTTTCAGATGTAATATTGCAGAGTGTATTAAACTTACCAAATCAGGAGAAAGACCAAGTCCCCTTAAAGCACGGACACTGTTTTGAGTAGGCTTTGTTTTCTGTTCACCAGTAGCATTAGGCTGAAAAATATAATTAGAAATCACTCATTTTTTAAAGAGCACTGGTATGGTGCAATGGAGCAGCGTAATATATGCACAATACCTACATAGGAAAAAGAATAATTAAGATTTAATAGAATTACAGTGAAACCTTGATTTAATAATCCCTCCATTATGTAGAATTGGGATGCAGACTCAGTTTCTATCCCCTGAAAGGACTGACAAGTCCAATCTATCTGAAGTAGTTTGGATAATGTAGTGTAGTTAAAATCACCTTAACTCTACCTTAATTTTATGTTAACCACAGCATTATTATACAAATCACATAATGTTATGTGAATGGTCTAAATTGCCACATTAACATACTGTCCTATTTAATAGGCATTTGGCATCTATCAAAAAGTTTTCACTATTATTATTATTATTTTCATTCAGTAACTGGCGTTCTCCAGCTAAGCACTAACTATGGTTCATATTCGCAACACATTTTGCAGTGTAGTTTCTGAACTTAAACCATGGGTTGCTATATAAATTGAAATAGTAACTTTCCCTTTAGTTTTCCCTTTCCTATTCTGGTGATAATTAATTCTTCTTTAATGTTTTTGTGTTGAACTGAGGTCTGACAAAAAATCAAAAATATATTGTGTATGTAAAATAACTTTTGGATAATGCTATGTGAGGTGTGGTAGTCAGCATTCTGCTCTACTAAACACAGCCAATATATACAGCCATGGCATTTATTACCAAGCTCAGTTTTAAATCTGCACTGAAGAAGTGAACCACATGACAAGTCTAACAAAGCAGTGTCCAGAAGTTGTCATAGCAGCAAATAGTAGCTTTGAAAAGCCTACATTCCATTTTATTTTCTTTCTTTCTTTCTTTCTTTCTTTCTTTCTTTCTTTCTTTCTTTCTTTCTTTCTTTCTTTCTTNGTCAGGAAGTCTTTGATCCATTCACAAGTGAGGAGAGGGAAATTCAGGTCAGTCAACTTTTCAATGAGAATTCCTAGTAAGATGGTCCAAGCTATAGACTATAAAAAGCATTCTGACATAATTCCCAGATTTCTCAAGGTGACTCAGTGCAATATGTAGAGCACTGGTGATGGCATCCCCTGTCGACCCGTTGTTTCTATAAGCAAACTGATGTTGATCAAAATTTGGTGGAAGATAGGACCTGAGGTGTTGTAGGACGAGTCTCTCAAAGCACTTCATCACTATAAATGTCAGTGCAATTGCCGTGAGATTATGCTCAACTGGAATAATTTACACCTCTCCAGATCAAAAGCTGATTCAGTTATTTATTACGAGTTAGGAGAAAAAAGAATAGGGCAGTTGAGAATAATATACCAAAGAGAAATTACATTAATAGAAACTTCACACAAGGTTTATGCACCAGGTAGATGTTTTGAAGAACTGAATCAATTTATTTCAGGTGAGGTATAAATAAATCTGCTATAAATATGTGGGGTTTTGGATTATATTCTGATGCAGGGGTTCTATCTCTTAATTGGTAGAATTTGTACCTCACCCTTATTTAGTCTTCTGAGCTTTTGTTGATGGTAGGAAACTTCATTATTAATTTATTATTTCAATTTATATAGCAACCCATGACTCTGAGCAGCTTACAATAGTTAAAAAAAAGAAATGAATACAACCTAGATGCATTTTTCCCTCCATTTTTCCCTTGATATATATTTTATTCTTTGGAGAATGTAATAAAGTATAGTTTAAAAAGGAAAAAAAGCATTAAAAGCAACATAAAACCAAACAACATAATTGGCAGCCAAAATATATAAACTATCAGCAATGAGCACCTGAGTCCTCAAGCCTGGTTGCAAAGCCATGTCTTTAAGGCCTTATGGAAAGTCAGTAGGGGTGGAATCAATCTTATCTTCTGGAGGGGAAGAATAATATCCAACAAAATAAAAGGCTCCTTTCCTAGATCCTGTCACATGACAATCCCTAGCACAGTGTTTTTGAGGAATGGCTGGCTGTGATATTCTGGGAGTTGAAGTCCACACATCTTAAAGCTGCCAAGGTTGAGAAACACCATCTACTGCAGGGGTGTCAAACTCACATCATCACCGTGGCGTCACATGACATATTGGGACTTCCCCCCCCCCTTCACTAAACCGGGCATGAGCGTGGCCAGCACATGACGCATCTGGCCCAGGGGTCAGGAGTCTGACAGCCCTGGTCTAATGGATGGGATCCAGGGCATAGCCCTCCAGCCAAACCTAATGGAATGGGCAAATGTTACCTGGGAAAGGTGATTCCTCAAATAAAATAATAGTGTCTGCCATCTTTGCAGATCCCTTTCAATAGCTCAAAGAAAATGGACAAACAAAATTAATATTTTCATTATGTTCCTCCATTTTCTTCAGCACAGATAGAGTCATGCAAAGTGTCAAGCACAGGGGAATTTTCTTTCTTTCCTTTTACGGGGAATGAAATGACTTTTGTAAGTGTTTAAGTTTGAGACCAGATTTTTGCTCCTTGTTTTAACAAAATGTTTTTATTTCAGCATTTCTGATCAAAAAGAAGAGATGAGAGCTTTGGGATTGAAACTGATGGAAAGGTTGAAGTATCTTGAGCTACAACTGCATAGTTTCAATCTCCAATTCTTTTTGCACTGAGCTTGCCTTATTCTTACAATGAAACTTATCAGTGCATAATGCAACATCGTGGGAGGAGGTTATTTTTCAGCTACCTTATCACAGAAACTAATGCTCAGTAAGTACAGGTGAGAGAAAATCACTGGCCCAACTTTATCTAGCAAGTTTTCATGCCTAAAAAGATTAAAATCTGGCTCTCTCTGCTCCTAGTAGGTCCTGTAGACCTTAATTTTTAGACTACATTGACTCTCCTTGTTCTAAAATGTAAAAATAAGCACTGGTGCTTTTACCTCATATTTTCCTATTCAGAATTTTTCTATGGAAACCTCTTGGGTAAAAAGTTTGCATTTTGGCACCATCAGAATTGCAACATAATATATAATATCAAAAGATACTGCAAATACTTTCTTATTATGTCATCTTACCATATTATACATTATTTACGAAAACACTGAAATAAACCACTCTTAAAAGCCTGGGACCTGATAAATCTTACTTGCTCAATTTTGCAAAAAGATTTTCAGGTGCAAATAAAATGCAAGGAAAAGGAGAAATTAAGACAAGAAACAAAGAAATGTACCTATCTGCAATTTTTTTCCATTTGAAAAGAAGGTGACTTGGTTGGTCATCAATTGGTAGGCTTAGTCTCTCTTTAAAGTATTTAATTATGCCTTGTTCTTCCAAAAGGATTGGCACTCGGTAAGTAGAAGAAACGTCATGGATGAATATTACCTAGAAAATATGAATTTCAATTATTCTCTGTAAATGTTTTATTTTCATTTTCATTTTCATTTCATACAGTCA